TAAAAAAACCCCAAAACACTCGCTGTTCTTATGGCATGTGATCTTGAGACATGGTGATTGTTTCATCAAACAGAAAAAAATAAAAAACGAAAGGCGAGAATGTATTCCAAGTGAGGGAAAGTTAATAAAGGAGACATATTAGTACACAGCCTATTCCAGCTGGTATGGAGAATACAGAAAGTATGTGGTGTAGTGGGATGGGGAGGTTATTAATGTCCTTTTGTGCTCACTGATACCTTCTTTGCTTTCTCTGTCTAAAACCATTTTCTCTTGCTTGATCTGGAAAATTCTCTATCTTTTATAATAAGACTCATCTGTTTCCAGATTTCCCCTGACTTTCCCACTCAAGTACCCAATCCCTCCTATGCAAGGCTAAATTAGGTGACTCTTCTCTATGTCTTTCATAGAATTTATGCTACAATAATTATCCGCTTATGTGTCTGATTCTCCTACTGGACTCCAAGTTCCTTAACGAAGGAGCGCTGGGTTTCATTGTTGTAGCTCCAATGCCAAGCACTGTTACAGACCTATAGTATGTGCACAGTAAATATTTTTGAATAACTAAGTACTACACCTCATTCCCTAAAAAGGTTTCTCAACGTTGGCATTATTGGCATTTGGGGCCAGATAATTACTTGTTGTGGGTGTCTGTTCTGTACATTGTGGAAAGTTTAGCCACATCCCTAGATCCCTAGATGCTAGTATGCAGCTAGATGCCAGTAGCACCTTCCCTGATCCACTTATGGCAGCCAAAAATGGCTCCAGACATTTCCAAATGTCCCTGGGATCAAATTTGCCCACATCTGTACCGTTGAGAATCACTGCCTAAAAACTATGAAATTCTATGAAAATTATGAACAATTTCAAGGAGTATGATGTGAAAATTGGGAAGGGTGGAATGGGACTTTCTTTCCAGTTACTTCGAGTCTTTTATCAGAGATTGCATTTTAAGTCCAAGAGCTCCTGATGCTGTACTAACCATAGTGTTTCTGAGAGGTGAGGGGTATCACATGTGAAGAAGAGAGATGTCTGCACTTGACCCACCTGGCTACTGAAGTCCCTAGTGGTACTGCAACTGCAACTTTTGTTTTGTATTGTTCTCAAAAGAAGGGAAGAGAGACTAAGATGTTGCTTTTGTCAAATAAATAAACTATTATTTTTTTCAAGAAATTTTAGACACACTCTAA